TTGTATTGGGTCTGAACAATTAGAAGTGCTCTTAATTTCAAATAGGGCTTGTTGGCCCTACTAACCGCATGTAGTCTATCAAACATTGGTTTTTTTTTTTTTTCTCTATTTTTTAAGACCGTGTTTCTCTGTTTTTCAGTATTGTTTTAGCTGGACGAACTGAAGAAGCAGTTCTAAAGAAATGATGGAGTTATATAGGATTCTACAAATTTTTTGTAATCCGTTTTTTTTCGTTGATTGGTGAATTATTTTATGTAAAAAAATAGTGTATTATTTGCCTACCGCACAATCCGTAAGCCGTTTAGTTGATTGGTTAACAATTTTTTTTTCAATTTTAAACACAAGATAAACATAAACGCTTGAAAAAAAGAAGAAGTCAAATATATTACTAAAACAAAAATCGGTTTTCCCAAATCAAAAGGAACTGGAATTTATCCGATATGGCAGGAATCTCATCCAAAATAAGGAAAAATTGTATGAAAAAATTTCAAATAAAATTTTAGGGAGAAAAAAAGGATGTGAGCGGCAAAATAAAAATATTTTTCAAACATTTTTTCTTCTCTCTATTATATAGTAATAGATGTACTAATATAGTAGTAATTCAAATTATCCATAATTAACAAATCAAGATATGATGAATTTCAATAAATTACAAAAAAAAAAACACAATTCAATTACAACAATTGTAAAATATCATTGCAAAAATTAACAAACAGATACATTTGATGTTGAATTTTATAAATTAAATCAGTATTAACTTTTAACAATCGACAAAAAACCGTATAATTCCCTTTTTCTATTTCCAATCCCTAATTCGACTCGACACACAGTACACAACTGACAACACTCGCAAAACGACGTCGTCGGTTAGCGAAATCGCAACGGCTGCCAGGGCAGCTCCTCACTGGTCATGCGCCTCGATGAAGACACGTGTCCCTCAAAATTCTCTATAAAAGGCGAGCGTTTAATCTAAGCCCCATTTCCATTTTCACCTTTTTAGAGAGCAGAAAAATATAAAAATGGGGAAAATTAAAATCCCTCTCTATCTCTGTTTTTATAATTGAAAATCTCTGAACAGCTTTTTATGAATTTCGGGCTCTCTCAATCATCACCTGAGGTGACTCTTTCTCTCTCTTTAACATCCATTGATTTCTTGTTTCTCGTGTGTGCATATGTTTTGTTCGTGTTTGTTGTGTTGTGTGTGCCGATTGTAATTGCATGTACATTTGTGTACGCCTCTGTAGAACGGGTTTTGATGAACGTGTGTGTTTGTGTGTGTGTTGGGCTTTGAAGTGACGCCGTTTTATGTGTGGTTTATTTGCTTAAAAGGTTTGCTGATCTGTGTGGGAAAAGATGGTGATTGTTGTGGACGTGAGTTCGGGGATTTCGGGTGAATCGGAAGAAGGGACAAATGTTGGAGTGGTTGACAGCCCGGAATCCAAAACCCTAGTGGAGAATCCGAGAGATAAAGGGGTTTTGAGTGATGGAGCTAGGGTTTTGGATGTGGAGTCTAGCACTGAGAATGTCATTGATTCAACTAGAAAGGACTCTTCTGAATTCAGTAAAACGAGGTCCCAGATTAATAAATGGGATTCGTGGGAATCGTGGGGGGTCATGAATATGGTTAGGAGAGTTTTGGGTGGGACACTTAGCATAGATGATGAAGAGGTGGATAATGAAATGGGAAAGGTGAATACGGCCAAGGAGGAGGTTGTGAGCGATTCTGAAAATGGACGTGAGGCGAATGGGGTTAAGAAGGAGAAGGACGTGAAGAATTTGAACGATGTATTCATGGAGGAGGATCTGGAAGCTTCTAGAAATGGACTTAAGGAGAATCTGGCGGCTGATACGGACGCGTGGCAGGGTTTGATTGAGGAGCCAATCTATGTGGGTAAAAGTGATGTTGAGAGATTTGTTGCTGACAAAGATTCGAATGAGTTGGTGTTGGATAAAAGTGATGATGAAAGATTCATTATTAGCGACAAATCAGATAAGTTGATTCAGGATGGTTTAGCTGTGGGTGATGGTTTAAAGGGGGACCAAGATTTGTTGTCTAATGAAATGGTACAAGATGGAAAGGGTTTAAATGCGTACCAAGATACGTTATCCAATGAATCGGGTCCAGATTTGGTGAATATGAAAGGCGATCTTGATTTGCTATCTAACGAATTGGTGCCAGGTGTAAAGGGCCAAGATTCCTTATCTAGCCAATCGGCGCCAGATGGAATGGATTTAATTGGGGACAATGATTTGTTATCCAATTATTTGGTACGACATGGTATGTTAAAAAAAGAAGTAAATGAAGTTGAGGGCCACACGAGTTTAATACCAAAGACACGTGGAGAGCACCAAATAACCGAAAAGGAAGGAGAGTATTACGTGTCAGATCTCGTGTGGGGCAAGGTCAGGGGCCACCCCTGGTGGCCTGGACAGATATTTCTTTCCACAGCTGCATCGGATAAGGCGAAAATTTATTACAAGAAACCGAGCTATTTGATTGCGTATTTTGGTGATCAGTCATTTGCATGGAACGAGGGATCGAATATCAAACCTTTCCATATGTATTTCTCCCAGATGGAGAAACAGAGCACTTCGGACAAATTTTGTCATGCCGTGAGTTGTGCCCTTGACGAGGTCGCTCGGCGGGTCGAGTTCGGGCTTTCGTGTCAGTGCCTGTCAGAAGAAGTTCGTGATAAGTTTGAAATTCAGGTGGTTTCAAATGCAGGTATTCATGAAGAAATGAACAAGGTATATGGTGGGGACAATTTATTGAACCCAGGTTCTTTTTCGCCTGGGAATCTCGTGCATTTTCTCGATTCTTTGGCTGCATCTCCGCAGACTGAAACCGACAGCCTGGAATTTCTCGTGAAGAAAGCTCAACTGCTTGCCTTCAGTAGATGGAAGGGTTACTATGAGCTCCCAATTTTTGAACATCACGTTGGGCTGTTGGAGGATGATGTTGAGGTCACTGATGATTTTTCATCTAATAAGAGAAAGTTCATTTCTGCCGGAGATGGTTCTTCCCAGAAGCGTAGACACCCGTTAAGCGATAAAGAGTTCCCTATTTTAAAAGAAAAACGTATATCTGCCCTGATTTCCTCGGGCAGCTCGATTTCACCAAATGCTGATGAGAAACCTGTAAAAAGGGCTGCTCGGAGGCCTGTCTCCTCTGGTAAAAACATCAAAAGCACAAATTCTAATCCCAGAGTGAAAAACCGGAAAACCGTGTTGCCGACTAGTCAAATTGGCGATGGTGGAAAAGGATGTGATGAATCTGAAGTGGTGGAAATAATTCCATCTGGTATCCCTACTCCTGATGTGATCCTTTCGAAACTAACCTTGGCTGCAAAAATTCCCATGCAAGGGTTCGGAGTCATGGTTTCAGAGGTTGAATTTCTCCGTGAATTTCGGAATTCGATTTGCTTTGAAAATTCGAGTTCCTCGAATGCTGAAATGGATTCTGTGATGAAACTCAAAGAAAAACAGCCAGTCGATGTAGATACTGCAGAAAATACATTTGGATTTGAAGGAATTACTAATGACTCATACTGGACAGACATGATCATCCAGAGCTCCTCTCAAGAACCCGTGTTGTTCGAACCTAAAAACACGGCTGCTCAAGTGGATGAACCTGCTGCAAATGTCGATAATACCCTTTTCTTGGATTTGGGTTCAGAAAAAATGCCACCAGATGAATATCAGCCGACGGCCCTCATACTGAACTTCACAAATTTGGAGTCTATTCCTTCCATTCCAAACCTGAATGAGATATTCAACAGTTATGGGCCTCTGAATGAGTCTGAGACTGAGATATTAAGCAAAAGCAAGCGTGTGAAAGTGATCTTCAGGAGACGAGTTGATGCTGAGACTGCTTTCAACAGCACTGGACAATACAGCATCTTTGGACCTTCGCTTGTCAGCTACAAACTTCGTTATGCTCCTACACAGAGAAAATCCCGTGGGACTTCAAAGCGGGCCAAGAAGGATGGATCAGTGAAAGTAGACACTTGAATCTGGTGAGGATTCAGTTTGGTGTGTGCTATCCTTTTGTCTTCTTACATAATCTAGCGGTTTTTTTCTGTTTCTTTTTTTTTTTTCTTTCCATACATACTTAAAGAGGGGGTTTTCATAATCGGGGAAGCTGAGCCGTTATATATCAACATTGTTGCATATATGGCGGATTTCATTTAATATTTCCCTTGCTATAAACTATATATGTGATTTATATATCTTGGTGGGGGTATAAGTATAACTGTAAAAATCTTTTGAGGATTTTGGTTAATGCTTTTCGACTTGGAATTTCAGTGTGTTGTATTTTCAGTAGCTTTTTATATGTATGTGCCTGTTTAGACCATGTGTACTGCAGTGAGTTGAATAGTTGTCTTATTTAGTTCCTTATTGATTTATGAGTTCTAAATAGGGAGAGTACAGATTATAATTTCATTTTTAGGTTGAGAAAAGAAAAAAAGTGCATTACTACCTAGATAATCTCTGAACGAATCTCGTTAGGATTTACGTGTTTGTGGCTTACTGTAACTGCTTTGTTGTTAAGGTGCTAAACTAAAACATTGTATTTGGGACTTTGTTCTCTTTGTTTTGCATCAAATAATCAAATGCAAGATAGTTATGCTGGTGACTTTGTTCTCTCTGAACGAATCTGTGAATGATGTTCACAATGTATTCAGACTTTGTGGTATTACGTTTCATTTGCAGAGTTTGCCAAATTGAGGAGGAACGATAAAGTTGGATAAAGTTGTGTAGCCTTCATCTTGAACTTAGTCATTTAATCAAGGGAAATTTACATACTTATGTCTATTATAATATTTAAGAAAGGAGTAGTAAGATGTGTAATTTTCTCTTTCATGAAACTTATGATTTGCATATGCTCGTAAAATAATGGCCGGCAAACTAATGATGGAGAACCATATTTTGTATATGTTATTTGGCGAACTAATGATGGAGAACCATATTTTGTATATGTTATTTTAATTTATTTTTAAACGTAATAAATGTATTTTAACTTTTTTACATGAAAGTTACATTAACAATAAAATAAGATAAAGAAACTACTATCATATTAGAATTAATATAATAGTCATAAATGAATCATAATTTAATATATTAATTTGATTATATACAAAAGTTACAAATATTGGATGAATGATTTATTTTTAATAAAAGTACAATTTGTGCATTGAACCGAACGTATAATAAGTAAATTTTGAATAAAATTGATTCGTTGAAAAACTATAATTGAAATGTGAAATGTCGGGCCCCTAACCATCATATAGACTACGAATTTTTTAAACATATAAACTATGATTGAACATGATTAATGTTACATTATATCAAAAACTGCAATACAGTAGCCTGATTTTTAAATATTTTATTAATAAACGTACACATGCAAATATGTATTTTTCACTCCATTTGTGAAAAAAACTCCAATAATTGTACTTTACTCCCTATTGAACGTCTATTTATAGCATGTTTACAAAAATATAAATCATCACGTCCTCCAAAACAATAAAAAGAAAAAATAGTACATTTAATAAACGCTTGTTTGTTCCCAAAAATGGTTGCCAAGTTGTTTGCATGCATAGTTGTAGTTGTTGTTGTCATATCCATATCCATGCTTTAGATATATGTGAGTACTCTTATATTATCTCATCGTAACTTTTATTAAAAAAAATTATATAAATTGATTTCTCACAATCTCATCCAATCTAAATTAATAGTAATGTATATTATTATTATTTGTATCATTATTATTATTAGTATTATTTTTTGAATTGCAGGACGGGAAAGGACATCTCGAGGTTGAATAAATAATTGTGAAAGACATTCATCAGCATTCGACCTCAAGAATCTCCTTTCCAGTCCTGCAATTCAGAGGATAGTAAAACAATAATATACACATTACTATCAATTTAGATTGGATGAGATTATGAGAGTCAATTTATGTACAATTTTAAACAAATAAACTATAAGATAATATAAGAGTACTCATAAATATCTAAAGCATGGTTATTATGGCAACAACAACAATTATGCTTGGCCACCATTTTTGGGAGCAACAAACAAATCATTTAGTAAATGAACTATTTTTTTTTTTAAATTTTTTTTGGAGAATGTGAGGATTTATATTTGTGTAAACATGTTATAAATAGACGTTAAATAGGGAGTGAAATATAATTATTAGATTTAGCACATGTGTATGTTTATTAATGAAATATTTAAAAATCAAGCGATTGCATTGTAGTTTTCAATAGAATGTAAAATTAATTATTTTTTTACCTACTTCACATTTTAAAGTAAGACATTCAAGTTAAAAGTTTCAAAAATATGTAACGTTAGGTTGATTAATTAGTATTTTTTTTTCTTTCCTCCCAAAAGATTCCCAACACTCCTAGGTCCTAGCAGCCTTTTTTCCAACTCCGAAAGAAAACCGCTTCGTGCAGTTCAAAAATCAGTCTCTCTCTCTGCAATCTCTCTCTCTCATTGTTCAACACAGCTTCGTCAATCGAAACTACAAATCCAATCTAATTCGTGGACAGCATCGGTACTCATTTTCTGATTAATCGGAAAATATATGGAAATGGAGGCGTGTCAGAAGATTGATCTTGAATTCGAAGACGACGGTCTCATCGACGACAAGATGTTTTCAGGTTCTTCCCCCTTTTTCTTACTCGATTTCTCTACATTTACTGTTCTCGAGTGTTTCGGTACAAATCGTAGGCTAAACGCTGTGTTTTTGTTTGAATTGTTTGATTTTGGGAAGTTGGAGCTGAAAATGGACTCAATTTCAGCATTGAAGTTTGGATTGAACTTGGGGCTTTTGGTTAATTGCTTCAGGATATGTACACTAATCGAAGTTGTTTTATGAGTGTCCTGGTACTCATCGTAGGTTAAACGCTGTGCTGTTGTTTGAATTGTTTGATTTTGGAAAGTTGGAGCTGGTAGGGACTCAATTTCAACTTTGAAGATTGGATGGATTGAACTTGGGTTTTTTTGGTTTAAAGCCCTCCTTAACGTGGCCATGGGTGTTGATCTACTTCTAGCATCTGTACATCATGATTTTCTTCAAAGGCGTGTGTTCAATCAGTGCCAATCTCAAGCCAGTGAACGTAGATTTTAAAAGAGTTTTGCTTTAAAAACCAATAGTGAATTATAGCTTGCTTTATAATGTATGTTCTCATTAGTTTTATTCATTGTGGTTTTTATTTTAAATTTTTGGCGTTAACATGGAATGTGTGAATGCATAGTGGCACTTAATTTTGTTTTCTTCTCGAATATTCATTTGGGCTCAACACTCGTGAATTGGCAGGAGGATTGCTTACTGAGAATGAAGGTGATGATGGTCTTATTAGTGAGTTTGACAACATGCCCGAAATGTGTGAATCAGCAGAACCTCAACAAAACCAGAAAAACGGGAGATATAATTTGCGTAAAAGTCTGGCTTGGGACAGTGCTTTCTTCACTAGTGCAGGTACTCTAAATTCTAGGGCCTTGCAATCTCCTTCAACAGGAATCAACTCCTCTTTGCTGGTAATGATTAATCATATTTTTCTGAAACTTTAGGAGTGCTAGATGCGGAAGAGTTGTCAACCATAATGACAGGAGCAGATAAGGGAGAGAAACATATGTTACCAGGAATTGAAGAGGAAATTACGGGGTCAACTGAGTCACTTTCCACTCTTGGAAGTGATACTTTGACGATGGAAACTATTGAGGAAGACTTGTTTGTGGACATCAGAGCTTCCATTCAAAGATCTAGTAAGAAGGCATTGAATTTGAGAATGTCAAACAGTGAGGCATCTGCTGTGGGGATAGATAGCACAGCCATTTCATGTAAGTACTCAGTTTCTATCTAATGTGAGATTATATGAATTATGTTCTCCTGATATTAGGTGGGGATATTTCTCTCTGTTTCTTCTTGAATTGATAAGGGTACCACCAACGATATATTTGGTGGTAGGGCAATATACTCGGAATCTGGGGGACATTGAATTTAATGTGAATCCAGTGATAGATGGAGACCAGAATTAGTTTAGAAAATATAAAGGGATAAAAAAGAGCATTGTTATCAAGACGTTCGGTCCAAGGTGCTAAAGCAGCTTTCTTTGTTTAGTATCAATTTTCTCTGCCCTTAGTTATGTCAGGGAGAATATGCTTGACTGCTGCCTGTAATCAACTTTTCATGTGATGCCAGTTTTCGCATCTACTTAGTTGATTTGTAATTATTCTTGAACTAATATTGGTAATCATATTCAGCGTTGAAGAAGGAAGACACTATCTCCCAAATTACGGTAGGTGCCATAAATGAAAAATTATTCGGAGTTATTGATGTTTTGATTTGTTTTAATGCATACTGATTCTATTTCTTATTCTGCAGAACCAAAAACCAGGTTTAAAGAAAACCAGTAGCCTGTCAACTATTAGGATGTCTAAATGTCGGGAAAAACAAAATATTGGAAAGTTAGAAACATGGAAAGCAACCAAGCAGGATTATGTTCACTCACAGGTGAAACAGGGATATGCATTTGCTTTGATATGCTGTGCTTCTTCTCTGCTGTTTCTTTCTACGTCATATAAATATTATTTATTATGATTTTTTACATTTATGCTGGTTATAAAAAATCATAAACGAGGACTGTCATGTCCTCCCATAATTTTATTTAGCTTAATATAAGGTTAGATGCGATCCATAGATTCAATCAACTTATGGCATTCCATCCTGTTTTGTATCTTAAGCACACTGTTGTCAGTTTTCTTTGAAATCAATGAAATGTTTTTAATTTTTCGGTGATTCATTTGTGTTTCTCATAGACTGACACCAACAGTTTTTTCGTATAGACTCCTATGGCTAAGATTGGAGGGACAAAATCCATAATTTTTCCTAAGCCACCCAAGACTATCAGCGGCTCCATCCTCTCATCAGGAGCAGCAGGAAAGCGGGATTCTGTAGGAACTGGTCATGCCAAAAGTGGAATCCCAAACCCTGGTGGGTGAATTATCTGATTGCTGACTAGGGAAGCCTTTTTTTTTTTCTTTCAATTTGCTCAATTCAACTTTTCCAACTTTTCTTAATCGAAATAATATGGGTTTTAAAGTGCCACTATTAAATAAAATCTGCTATTCTCTTTTTACACCACAAATCATACATTAAATATAGTTGCTTGTGCTATTATTAACTCGACAGCAATCCTTCCCAGTAAAGGGACTCAACCAACAAAAGTATTATCCTCCTTAGGTGGTGCTAGAAGGGCATCATCATCAGGTAGTTCTTTGCTGCCCTCTTCAACTCAAAATTCCGTGCAGTCGAGAAGGTCCTCCACCTCAAGTAACAGTTCAAGTAACATCTCATCAAAAATAAATCCAGTTAAATCTAATCTAATGCCGGCGAGAAGGAATACAGGTAAGACCAGCAATATCGGTACCGGTCCTTCTGCTTCCATCCCTAAAAAAGTTCCTTCAAGAGCTACTCCAAAGACCAAATTGCCATCAACATTATCCAAGATTTCCTCGAATGTCTCTCCGGCTCGTTCAATTAGTGAGTGGTCTTCGGTATCGTCATCATCATCATCTTCAATGGTCAGCCAGAAGTTCAGTAACTCCGCAAACAGTATAGATACCAGTTCTTGTAGGTCTGCAGATAGCGATTTAATTCCTTTGGATCCAACGAATCCTTCAGTGGGTGAAACTGCTGACGGGCCTGAATATCATGAGGTTATTTTAACAAGTGAAAACTCAAAGAAGCCGACATCACAAACTGGCGGCAAACTTCATACTCCGGGAAAGCCGTCAGGATTGCGAATGCCAGCCCATAAATTTGGATTTTTTGACGGGGTTAGTTTTCAGTATTTGGCTTAGTCTGAATTTTAAATTTTATTGAATGGGCAAACATTGATAAAATTCATGAATTGGAACTTTTCTTTGGTGCAGGATTTTTCTTGCTTAGATAACTATTTCCCGTTATTGCTTGTTAGTGTGATATGCATAAAAGGCATCATTCATGTTTTTCCCCGATGTTGAAGTTTAGTCTAATATCAAAACCCAAAACCCCACCCATTAAAACTCAACTGGGAATTTTACTATTTTTAGTAATAACCCGAGGATTATTAGTGATTTAGAAAGATTCAAACTTTTTTTTTGTAACTATATTAAACTCAAAGTATTGTGTCTCGAGCTACAAGATTCAAGCTATATTTCTAAAACTTTTGTTTTACCATCTTTCAGGTGAAGTCATCTGTTAACTCTCCTAATAGGCATCAACAACAGTCTCCATCTGCAGTGCAGAACAAGTTCCCCAAGAATGGACCTTCTTCTATAGGCATTCCAGTTAGAAGCTCTATCAGCAAACTTAAGACTGTTAATGCTAAGGTCTCAACACCTAAAACAGTTACTTTTCAAATACAACCGATATCCTCTCGTGACGAAAAATCAACCGACATAAAAGATTCTCCCAACTTGTGTCTCGGAGTTGAAGTTAGTATTGCATCTGAAGGAACTTTTCAAGACCAAGAAAATGCTGAGACTGAAGATCGAGCAGAGCAAGTATTTGAAAATACAGGTGCGGTTAGTAGTATCAAGGAGAGTTTAGATGCTTTGAAAATTGAAGGTGGTGATGTGGCGGTTAATGAAAATTGCAGAGTGCCCTTAGCTCCGGTGAATTCTTTCGTCTGCAGTGAAAATGCTGATGTGGCGAAAGAGTCGGTTGTCCAGGTTGTGGATAAGGCAGGGATTATATTGCCTGCTTTTCAGCAGAAAGAGAACTGTTAAGTATAAGGGGGTTTGTTTTGGGTTTGTTTTTAAGTACGCGTGTAGGTTGGCCAATCGAAGGTCAGTTGGGGCTTCAGCCATCGGTTGCTTATAGTGCAATGTGCTGAAGAAAAATAAAGACAGTGGTTGTCTACTTAAAGTTACGCACTTTCATTCGCAGACGTCAGGTACTCGGGTTGTATTGTCTTACGAGAAATGTACTTTTAGAAACCGATTTCGAGCTTCTACGTTTGGTCTTTTGAGCCTAAGAGTATTGAAATTACTCAAACAATAGAGCTTGGAGACCTTTATATATGAGCCCTTAAAAGTGTTTAACTACTGATTTGGACGAGTTGCAATTGCTAGACGTTCGTTCACCATCAGTTGGCAAAACATATATATAATCCATAGTTGATGATGGAAATGAGAGCAGAATTTACGTTTGCACGAGTTATTAGTGGACACAGAAATTACCGGCACCATATTTTTTTTTACCTATTAAATTTTCAAGATGGTACCAGATGAACAACAAACTCACACTTTTTAAGCAGTTGTATATGCGTTAAAAGAATTGAATTTTCTTTTTACAAATACAACAAATTTCGGGATGATTTGTAAATATTCAAAGAATATTAAACTTCAACTAATGAGCTGCCGAAAACTTGATGGATATGGAAATGAAAACCAAACCTTCTCTTGATTGTAAATAACAAAACCCTGAAAATTCCAAGCACATAAATCTTCAACACCAAACACTACACTAATTCAACAACCTCAGTCATTTATCATGAGCTCATACATAAGAGAATCGGGTTTGACATTTTAAGCAACATAAAACGAAAGTTCACTTAATAAACTTAAGATATCAAAGATTTCATCTCAAAACTTAAGATGCCGTTTGTGGAGGGAAAAAACGAATCGAATGACTTAAGACCTTGGCTTCTCCTTTTTCTCCTTGAAGAGTGCTAGAAGTGAAACACCCGAAACCTTCACCACCTTAAACCTAACACCAGGAATATCTCCCACGGCATGTCCCTTACGTCCAAATCCGGCAATCAATACCTCATCCTAAACCCCCAAAAAAATAAATAAAAAGACAAATTAAATAATCAATTAGGAAAATAAAAAAAAAATGGCAAAAGAAGAATTCACATAGGTGAACGAATAACAGAACTCACGTTTTCTTCAATGTAGTTCAAACAACCGTCATTGGGGACAAAAGCAGCAATTTTCTTTCCATTCTTAATGAGCTGAACCCTAGCACACTTACGGATGGCAGAGTTTGGCTGCTTAGCTTCAATGCCTCTGCAAATAATGTCAATAACAGATACATGAGAGTCTAATTAAAATATACAAGAAATCATGTAGAAATGTAATGCTGAGAGTGTGAAACTATTGTAGAGAGGATATCTAACATTTTCTCGAGCACAATGCCCTTGGCGTGAGATGAGCCAGCAAATGGCTTCTTCCACTCGTTGCCAAGGTGGGATTTCTTGTAGGCCTTGTCAGCCCACCTCTGCCTTATGCGGTGGGACTTCAGCTTGCGACCAGCTCCCATACCACGTGTCTTCCTGTTAAATAGTAATTCCACGAAAACCCCCAATCATCAATGATCAAATTACTCGTGGAAATCGTTTTTTTACTTTCCCTTTTTTCAGTGTGTGACCCACACGTAAAGAGAGAGAGAGAGAGAGAGAGAAGTTGGAGGCAATTTTTCTTTGACATGCTCACAAATGTTTTTGTATAAGAAAAATGCACATGCTTAATATTTCTAAGGGAGTTTTTTTTTTTCATATATCATTGCAGAAGGCAAGAGAAACAAGGAATGTTGAATGTCACTTATCAGCTTAAACCCCTGAGCTTGAAAAGCACGGTTTAACACGAGATACCCTACTTTTACTAGATAAATCTACAAGCTTGTCAAAATGAATTACATCAAGAAATAACTTCAATTTGCAGCCAAATATAGCTCCTAAATTGGATGCATAAATGACTCGATAAGCTTGTCTACTAAATGACTCAGGCACAAACGGACTTGAACTTGGACGAACAATTAAACGGACGAACTAACACGAACAGTGTCCAAACAAACATAACCGAACACAGCTCGAAATGCTCAAGCTCTGCTCGTTCAATTCGATTACAGCCCTAACATATCCTCCCAGAAACTACCCTAGAAAAGATACATACAAAGCATGGATTTTTGAACTGTAGAGAAGTCCCCATCTAACTGAACAAACTGAGAAAAAAAAAGGAAACACGAAAGCAGCTACTTTACATGAGCGAATTCAGCTCAGGAAGCACTGAGAACAGTCAATACATCAGATTATTAAGACTGATAAGTAAATATTTTCGGTAAAAAATGAAAATTTTGCCACCATTTTCCCGAGGCTAACGGTCATTGGAAGATACATTCCTTTCCATTATGTACTGAGACGCGTAAAAACACAAATGTACGAGAGTGATTAGCCAGCTAACAGTTTAGAACCAAAATAACTCACAGCCATGAACGCAGCTAGATAAATCCAATCAAATTCTTAGAAATCCAATCAAACTCTCAAAACAAAGAAAAAAAGTGCAAGATAAGATGTGATTGCATACCCCATGATTGCTGAGCTCGGAAAACGTGAGAATGGAAATTGAGGCTTGCAGAGGAAATGCTGCTGAGGTCTGCGTAAAAACCCTAGTTTCAGAATCCAAACGAGCGATGGAGTAATAAGAGGATCAGTTATTAGTGGGCCTGGGCCAATATAGTGGTTATTGGGTTGCTTCGGCATTTATTGGGATCAAAATAATGATAGACTAGTGTACTTGGGCCGTTAAAGCTTTCACGTAAAGACAATGACACAATATGCGTAGTATTTATCAGATATTTCACTGTTTGACGTAAGCTAAATAAAAAAAAAAAAGATTTGAAGAAACGATTTGTTGAATTAGGGCGAGGTATAATATTGAACCGCATTGAGAAAAAAGCTTCACAAGTGTTGCTGTTATGTGACTATTATTCTTTCTATTAAAAAACCATACTATACAACCATATTTTATTTATATTTTATGATAAAATATGATACTTTAGTATGAAAGTATATATATTTATTAAAAAGAACACTGTCCAACTTGTAAGAAATTGGCCAATAACTTTCATTTTGCCAATAACCATTAATTAATAAAAAAAATGATGGTACAGAAAAAAAAGGAGAGAATATAGATTAAAAAACAAAGACCATTGGTCTTAAATCAACACAAGTACATAATAACAGCTATTACACCTAAATATATCCGAAAATAACTGCCGCCACAAAATGGCTTACAATTAAGATTTCATGAACTTGTCACCAGCAAAACACAACAATTGGCTGTTCATTTGATTTTTGAAACAGTTAATAATCACTATACAAAATTACTAAACTTTTCTGCAGCAGTAGTAGTAGAATCTAGTAGCCCCTCCAATTTTTCAGCTTGAATGAAAAACATTCCTGTAAATTAAAAAAAACAACCCATTAAGCTTTAAAAAAATAAAAATTTCACACAAATTTCAGTATTCAAGACTCAAAAAATAAAATCATGTAAAAACAAAATAAAAACCTCGAACTTTTTTTTCCCCTTCTTTTTTGTTTTTTGGCCTTATTTCTGCCCTTTCTTCAACAAAACACCGATCTTTTTCAACACATTCCCATTCTTCTTCACACCCAAATCCTCATCCGAAAATGGCGATGACGCCATTTTCCCCCCGATTATCTGATAATCCAAACCGCCCATTTTCTCGACAAATTTCCCATTATTGTTCCCATCTGAGAGCATGGCAGCAGCTGCCTCTGCCGCTTTTCTCCACTGATCAGACTGAACTTTTAGCCTCCTCAGCTCAGCTTCCATTTCTGAGCCGGCAGCTTGAGCCGCATCAAGCTCCTTGGCTAGCCGCTCGGCTTTCCGGCTACTTTTATCAGCTTCTTGAGTCATATTTTCAAGCTTCATGAGCAATTCTCGTTCAGCCTCAGCCTTAGCAAGTGCATTGTCACTTTCTTCGCTTTTTTCGGCTTCTTTTTTCAAGATTTCGGATTTAAGCGACTCGTTTTCTTCAGTAATGGCCTGCAGGCGCATTTCTTTGTCTAATAAGTTCGCTTTTAGGTCTTCTAAAGTGTATTCTGCTTTTTTTTGCTCGAACTCAAGCTCACTTTGTAAAGCATTCTCTTTTTCGATCATTTCAGCCTTCAATTCTTCAAACCCGGCTTTCGATTCTTTCAACTTTGCCTCCAGTTCAGATTCCCTTTTGCAAGATTCGATTTTTACGAGCTTCACAAGTTCATTCGCATCCTTTATCTGCTCAGTCATTTCTAAGTATTCGTCTCGATACCTTCTCTCAGCATCCTCAAGGGCATCTCTTAACCGACTCACTTCATTCCTCAAGTTATCAATCTCAGTTTTCATAATTCCCTCGTTTTCAGCCGAATTATTCTTGCTGGCATTAGAAAAATCAGCCTGGAATTTCTGAACGAGTCCCTCCAAAAAGCTCACTTTGCTCCTCGACTCATTCAATTCCACCATCAACGATTTATACAATTCCATAACATTACCGTTTTCCAAATTTAATTTCTCCTCAGCATTTTTCACAACTTCTAAAACCATTTGGGCCCCACAAACTTCCTCCAGAGCCTTTTCTTCCGATTCTCTGCACTCACTCAACTGGCTTTTCAACGTCTCGACAAGCTCAAGAGTTTCTTCGAGTTCAACTCTCAAGCTGTGAACCTCTGCGTGTGCTGACTCAGCATGCCTTGCTTGAGAAGCTTCGGATTCGGAAACTTTGCTGAGTTGGGATTTGAGCCTCTGTATCTCGTTAAGTGCCGAAGCTAAAGCTGAAGAATCCATGGAGTGCTGTTTTCGAACGGCTTCCAGCTCAGATTGCCATGCTTTGTCTCGATCTTGAGAAATTTTGCGTAGTTCTTGGATTCGAGCATCCTCAGAATCGGAAAGCTCGTGCAGCTGCTTTTGGGTTTTGTCGAGCTGGGCTAAGATTGTCGCCAGCTGGATTTTAGCCTCGTCAGCATCCTGCTCGGCTTTTTTCTTGCACGACTCAGATGAGAGCAATTGGTCCCGGGCTATTTTTAGCTCGTCTTGGAGATGGGCCAGCTGAGAATCTAGTTCGGAAACTTTGCTCGGTTTTTTCTTCTGAATTATTATTACAAGCAGCAAATGAATTAAAAAACCAAAAAAGTTAAAAAAAAAAAAAACATCATTTGGTGAAGATGGCTGTTAAGACAGGCTAAAAACATTTGTAGATTTTTAAGAAAAAAAAATTCCTTTAATTAAGCTATGGTGTTAGCCATTAGAAATGTTATATTGTAGATGAGAAGATTGATTCAGTTTTTATCAAAAAAAGATCGATGACTTAGTTGCAGAAAACATAAATAATGTCTTTCAATGAACTTGTTGATATTCAGAAGTAAACAGCTCAAGTATTATATCTTTTGATTGTCTTATATATTGGGTCGTGATAATAATACAGACCAGAACAAAAACTCACATACATAAATGAAGCAATAGCTAGTATGTTAGATCATCACACATTTCTTGTGCATATTTAATTAGACATTTTAACATAGTTTGAGAATTTTCACTACCGTAAGTTCGTAACTCGATAAAGCATTTTTTTCTTTTTACCTCTACTGCTGGAGTTCTTGGAGATCGGCGTTCGACATTTATAGGACTTCTATCTTTAGGTGTTTTTCTTACAGGACTTGGTGACAAAGAAGGATCAGAATCTGATCCTTGAGTTTTGAGCTTCGATTTGGTGGGAGAACGTTTTTGAGGCACGTTCAGAGAACCGGGTCTGAATTCAAAACACACCACACAACGTTAAATCATTGGAATATTCAAGTCTCGTTTCGTATTTTTTCATTTTCACGTTAGCTCTACAAAAAAACAAAAAAAAAACAAGAAAGAAAGAAATAGGAAAAAGGAGTAAACATCTTTTAAAAGATTGAACTTCTATAGCATTGAAGGTAACTTGGATTTCAAAAATTACAAAATTTTATTAAAACTTATAAACACAGAAATACAATTTTATTAATAGCATAAAATCATGAAAGCATATACAGAGAAAAGAAAAAGAAAAAAACACAACATAAGATGCAATTTACCTTGATTTAGTAGTGGTCTGCATATTTTTGTTATCTCAATAGAGAAAAAAGGCCTAACCTGCAATATTCAGATTGTTAAGGTGGAACTCTTTTTTCATGAATATGTATATATATATAACAACATAACAATGGCCTAACAAAAACTATTTGTGCAGAAATCTAACTACTACTAATCCATATTCAACTGACCAACCAACCTAAGAAAGAAAAAGGTTAAGTTATCACCTTCAAATGGATACAAATGAAACAACCTCCACTTTAACAAGCAAATCTAAAACTCAAGAAAAAAGAGGAAAATGGAAAAACAAAAACAAAAAAGTAAAAAAAGAAAAGAAATGAGGCAAGTGGAAGTAGCTACCAAAAGAAAATAAGTATAATTACGATAGCCGTGCTTTCGCTTTCCCTATTTTTTTTTTCCTTCATTTTCACTCCAGAGATTGCAAACCCAACTCTAGACCATATCATGTATAAAAATCTTAATACAAACCCAACTCGAAAATTTGTTAAGATATTTAGACTTTCAGAAAACCAGCATTCAGGTTATAAAATCAAACCGATCGAGACTATATGTTCAAGTTCAACAGCTGTTCTCCAATGCTTTATAAATATTTTTTTTAAAAAGGCAAAATTTCAACCTTTCATCCACAGTTCCACACCAAATTTTCATTCTTTTTTACTCTGTTTCACTGGTTGTCTTATGTTTGGTTAATCCAAACTCAAATTTTGGCATTCATAACCTAGTCCAACAATTGACTTGGAAAACATTATAGATGG